CTCCCAAAGTTGCACTTAGAGTAATTACTGAGATAAGTGAGCTAGTTAAAGTTTTAGCTTTAGCAATTTATACTATATATACAGCTTACAATTGTTTAATAAAGCACACATAACTAGCCTAACAGAGTGTTTAAAAAAAAAAAAAAGTATATTTTAATAAAATCTGCTGATTTAACTTTTTCTTAAAAATTTTTTTTTAATAATTTTTGAAAAAAAACAAAACATAATAAACTCAACTCAGCAATACTAACAAGAGTTAATAACTGCACAACTATTTTTAAAATATATATATAATACTTAATAAACAAGTAACAAATAAAAATATATATACTTATTATAACAATATTACACTCTACTAAAATCTTTGAGAAAAAGAAAAACAAGAAAGAAAATCTGAATTACAGTAAGATCAAGGAATCTAATATCGACTCTTCTAGCTTCTAATTAGACCAGTGCAAATTAATACTTTTCTAAACATTAGAAAGAACCTCTACAATATAATAGTTTTAATAGGTAAATCAATTAAAACTCAAAAGTTATAAAGATTCAAAAGAATATTATAAATCTAAAAGCAAAAGCTAAAGAACATAAATAGTAATATAGTTGCAATACATAAACAATTAATATATAATACAAAGTAATATTTATATAATGTATCTCTTAATACAACAAATATAATATATATTTGAAACTTATTATCAAAGTTGTACTCTATACAATCAGTTACATCATATGGATTAGTGAGATAATAAATAACAGATCAATACTAAACAAAAAATATGTAAACAACTAATAAATACATATTTACTTCACATTGATTAATCAAAATAGAACAATTGCAAATTAATATAAAAAAGTTTAAAACCAAAGCAATATACTATATTTGGTAAACAAGTAAACAAGTAAATTTATCAAAACTATAGATCAAACAACAAATATATGATATAATATAAATAATATTGTATAAATATAAGAGAACTCAATACATATTTTAAATAGTAAATATAAGAAAAGAGAATATAGTTACAAATGTATGACAAGTATTCAAAACTATAGGTCTCTCAATAACTATTACAACAAAGAGAAATCAAATTTAATAAAGAAGTAGTTCCATTATCTAAAATATATATGATCTTAAATAGTACTATTATCAAGATACTCAAAGTTAATAAAATAATCTTTTATAAAGAATAGATTTTAATTTGATATTTACTATATCTTTGATAACTAGAAAAAGACAATGAAAAATATTTTCTTCAGCCCTATCATCAGGAAATTTTTAAAAATTTTTCCAAAAAACTTTAAAAATTTTCAAAAATTTGTAAAACAAAAATAATTTCATTAATTTTAATATAAAAAACTTTGAAGATTTTTTATTTCAAAAAATTTCAGAAATATTCAAAGTAATAATATATATATTAAAATAAATTAATCCATAAAATACTGATTAATTTAGTCCAAAAAAAAAACTCTTTACCGCAGATCCTAAAATTCTTAAAAATTTCCTTTTTAGGTAATTTTTTCTAAGAAACAAAAAAGTGCACGAAAGAGATGAGTTCTCATAGAACCCTTCGCAGTTCTAAAACTAATACAAGACCCAACTACAATGAGAACCTTCTAGCAAGATGTAACGCAAGAAATCTTCGAAAAGAAACCAATACAAACAATAAAAGGACAACAATCCTAAACAAGGGTAAAGAACTTGAAAAACTGACAGAAACCTTCCAAAATCTCTCCACAAATAAACAAGTAGTCCAACAATCCATAGCTAATCACCAGAACCTGTAAAACCACAATAAACAGGACGCAAGCAGCTCAGCATCACAAACATGGAACAATCAAGTAGAAAAAACAATCACCACTGAAGGAAGAGTATATCCCAAGAAAGTACGCAGAGAGGAAACATTAGATACCCAACAACATATCTACACACTAACAAGGGTTGATGACTCTGATGTAGAAATGTAAGATGAAGGAGAGGAAGAACCAGAACAAGACCCAAACAAGGAAGATACTGAAGAAACATGGCAAGTCCAGAGTAACCAAAGAAGAGGCTGCCCAAGATCAAGATCACCTTTCGATAGAGCAATAAGATATGGCAAGAAAAGATTTAAAGCAGGAATCATAGCAAGTGACATCCCGGGCACTACCACTGGCCAAAAGATCACTTACTTAACCAAAGCTTTAGGTAGCCCAAAAAGTCTCTTCAATATCTACAAAAAAAAAAAAGAGGGCATCGATCACATCACTGCCTTATTTGGGGAGGAACAGGCTGCAGAGGAGGCATGCAACCTAATCTTACCAAACACAAATCAAAAAAGATTGACACGCATGACAATCACACTAACTGAGTCAAAAAAGAAAAACAGTATTGGGGTATGGGACATTTCCTTGATCACAAAATTCATATAAGTACAACAAACCTTCACTAGATATGGACAAATTACCAACATATCAATGCACACAAGTCAAATGTGGCAAATGGTAACTATAACCTTTCAGGATAAGAAAGTTAAGGAACAACTATTCCAACAATACAGTATACTAATCAAAGGAGATACAACAAGAATAATGGATGCACAATAGAACAGGTAACAAATAACGGAAAGATTTCAACATGCTGCAAAGCTCACCGATCTTCTACCAAACACCAATGCTTTTGATCTAAAGAATGTATGTCAACAACTTCAAGCAAAGTCATGCTATATCCCCCGCAGAATAAAATATACCAGAAAATGATTCGCAGTCATATCTTTCAAATCTGAAAACAAACTCAAAGAAAGTTTAGGACAAGAATTTATTATAGGAGAAACCACTATCACAGTCAAGTCAATGGAAACCAAACTCTGCTCCATCTGTGATCAAAGCAACCAACTCCTGGCACAATGTTCCATTAAAGAAAAAAGAGAACAGTAGTTATAATATAACAAAGATCAAGTATCAAGATTTGGCAAACTTTACCAAAAGTTCAAACCCACTGGTACCCAATATATCAGAAGCATAGCAAGCAGAGAAATACGTATATAGAGACCAAGACCAGATTCATATGCAGCAGCAGCAGCAACCAATCCTAGAACCAAATCTAAGCAACAAAATGATCAGGAGCGAGATCCACTAGACAAAATCCTTAATATGTTATAACAGATGCAAGAAGATATCAAAGAAATCAAATCATCAATCAGAGACCTAAATAAGAGAATTACATACCTCGAATCATATGAGGATTACAATAATAATACAATGGAAGATGATACACAATAAGCAATAAAGTTGGACAATCCAATACAACAAGCTCAGCCTCTTTCACCAGCATAATGCCTAATATTCAGCAAAGACAACAAGAACTTCATAATTCAATCAATAAAATGGACCAAAATATGAGCAACATTCTATCTGCAATTAACACTCTGGTTCCGAACAACAAACACCTCTCAACATATAAACAATAATGGGTAGTTCAAATAGTACTATCAATTTCAAAGAAGACATTTCAATAGATCAGACCAGAAACCAAAACATACCTACAAATTCTGAACTAACAACACCATCTAAAAACATAACAATAATTGACAACAACATTCCCCTTACAATCAACAATAATCCAACGGCATATCCAAAGGACAGGAATCTCAACCAAACAACAGAACAACCAGAGATGCCTCCAATACAAATGGAAGACAACTCACAGCACCACACTGAACAACACATCCAAAACCTATAGAAAATCACAACACAAAACATCAGAGAAATTACAGACAATTTCAAAAGACAAACATGGTTTGATCTTGTCAATAGTCAAGGTTGGGACATAGTAGTTACAATAGAAGTCAACGGAATTAAACAAGTATTAAAACATTAGAAATGCCCCAGTTATCATACAATCTGAACTTATCATGAATCCCAAGCATTGGGATAAGGTCTCAATATAAGGTTTCACAATAAAATCGCAAAAAAAATCTTCAAACACAAGAAACTTGATGGAAGGCTGATTGATAGCAGTAGACTTGGCTTTCCCAAACAAACAAAAAATATGAGTCACAGGAATATATTTTCCTACAGTAGCAACAATCAAAGAATGTACACCAGTAACAAAAACCCTATAATAATGTATAAATAAGGCTATCAATAAGGACTGACATATAATAGTTCTGGGAGACATGAACGGAACCTCTAACCCAATGTTAGATAAACACAACAATCACAAAATCATACGTATTAGCAAACCAACTAGACCACATATAGAACTGTTAATCAATAGAGACTTCAAAAACAGCTTTCATATACACAACCCCACAAAAAAGGAATTCACATGGAAGGGGCAAGATAGTAGAAGCAGAATTGATCAAATTTGGCTCAGCTCTTCAAGCCTGGAGAAAAATGCTTCGATTCATAAGCATAACCATAGATTCAACTGGCAACATACCAACATCAAACAATGGACAGCCTTTACAAACATGATAGAAGAACTAACTTCAAAAACCACTCAACCAAATATATCAATAGACAAAAGATAGAATATCTTTAAAAATAACATGCTAAGAGCTGCCAAAAAGAACATCAGTAAAATCAAAAACCATTATAGGAAAAGGTTTCACCCAGAACAGACAAGACCTCCTCTACCTATCATCTCCTTACAAAATTTCCTTAACGACCTGAGAAACCAATCAACAAGTGAAAAAATGATCAATCCAGCCGAAGCAACTCTGATACCTAAAGAAATAAAGGTTAGATTCCCTGACATACATAATACTCTCACTACAACAAAGACAGAAAAACTAGAAACATACATTCAAGAATAGATCCTAATATTGCAAAGAAATATATAAGTACACAAACTCATGACCAAACACATCACAAACTTCAGACAAATCAAGACCATTAAACAAAGAATAATTAAACGACAAGTCTTTCTGGAAACTAACAAAAAAGCCATGATCAATAGTATTATGGAAAAACCACAAAAAACTATTCAGCTGGATAAAATCATCCTGCAAGTAAAGGAGACCGAAATCATCACAAATACAATAGCAGTCAAAGAACATATGAGACTTCACTTTCAGAAATGGACACTCTTAAGAAATATATAACTACTGAATAATTATCCACTATGAAAAAGAGAGTACACACATAAAAGGCATATTCAGTTACACTAGTATGAAACCACAACCAAAAAAATATCGAAAAATGAACACAACAATGTAATAAAAGGGAGAAGTAACAAATCAGCACCGGAGCTTAACCAAATACCTTATATTGCCTACAAATATCTGGGGGGAAAAGCTAAAGAAGAGGTCGAGGAGATATTCACCAAATAATTCAACACAGTGACACTTCAACAGAGTGGAGTAAAGGAATTATCTATTCAATTCCAAAACCAAAGGAATAGGAAAACAACCTAGACATTACAAGACCAATCACCCTACTCGATGCAGGAAGAAAAATTTTCACAAAAATTCTAACTAATAGGCTAGCCAGTTGCATAAAAAAAGAAGGAAATCCTATCAGAACATAACTGGACCGCACTTCCAGGAAACAATACACAAGACCCAATACACATAATCAGTGACATAATAGAATATGCCAAAGAAAATAAATAACAGGCATGGATTCTTAGCCTGCACATGTCCAAGGCATATGACTCAGTCAATATCAAGATGCTGACTTTAGCCCTCAAAAGAATAAAGATTCCAGACCAAATAATCTGAATCCTAATCAACATATTACACACCAAACAATCATATGCTATGGCCCAACAGAGGAATACAAAGTACAAAATGACATTGATCAAGGAGACACAATCTCACCACTCTTGTGGCAAATCTTTTATGACCCCCTCTTGACTATGATCACGAAGATGCATAAGGAATACACAATAAACTCAAAACACTGTGAAGATATAAGACGGGGATGGAAATACAAAACCACTGATTTGGCCACCTGTGCTTACATGGATAACACAACATGGATTACCAGCAATCAGACAGACTTACAACAAGTCATAGACACAGTACAACAATTTTATCACATCAATGACATCCAAGTGAATCCATTAAAATCATAACTCCTGATTATCAATGGAAAAGACACTGACTATAAACAAGGGGTCACAATGAATAAACTCAGAATAGAGGGCTGCAAACCAAGTATCCCAGTAAGAATCTTAGGAGTATGGTATGACAGCTCTGGATGGAAAAAATATTAAAAAAATCTTATAGACCAAAAAATAAATAGAGCTAAAACCCTATTAGGAATGAAAAAAGTGACAGATAAACAGATGCAATATATCATCAACCATGTTCTCATACCAAGTATAGAGTATCTATGTAATGATATAGTCCTATCCAGAGAAACCTGCAATCATTTAATGAGTAGAATAGCCACAACTTACAAGTATAAATTAGGTCTTACAAACATAATCCCAAACAGCATGCTGTATAACAATCAGGAATACAACTTAATGCATTTGTGGGACCGACAAGTTCTACTATATCTAAACAACTGGACAACCAGAATTAACCTTAACAACACCACAGATAGTATAGCTAGACACAGACTCCAATTGCTAAAAAATACATACTGGTCAACAGAACCAATTCTTGCTAGCATGCAACAAACTTTCTTGGAGCATGGCGCAAATTTTACATATGATATAATTTGACTACTAAGAACACATGGCTTCAATCTCAAACAAATAAGAAATGAGGGCCTGTCAGTAATTAAAAAAGAAGGTCAAAACATTCAAAAACTCATAAGTGAAAACTTTTATCAAAAACATCGAAGCAAGCTAAGAAAACACAACCTACTATTCACAGGTCAACTTTTGAATGGGAACAAATGAAAAATACTACAATGGAACCAACTCATCAAAATCAACAGGATAGCAATACAAGGAACAGTCCTCAAATGGTTTTTGGAGATAAAAACCAAACTGGATCAACAATTAAAACTAACAACACAACAAGCTGGTTCCTCATATAATAATTTCCTTCAATGCAAGTCAAACACAACAAGCAATATTGCAAGACCACATTGGGTTGGAACAGAAATAAACAATCAAATAGTCATCGGTAGAAAACAAAAGAAAATAAACACAAAATCAGCAACCTACAAACACTATATATGGGATCTAGAACAATCCTCTTTATTGGAATGCCCAGGTTGCGACATAAACCAGTCAAACAACTTTGAGACTTCTTGCAACTTTGAAGCAACAAGGTAGGCAACAGTGGAAATCTCAGTACATCATAGCAGAGTATCAACATAACAATACTCAACCAACAAAGAACTGAACTTCAGAAGCTGAATATTACCAAACTCCTTATCATTAGGTCTGCTAGCATTAACATATCCATCCCAGACAGGAAGGAATGCAAACATAGAAATTGAAAGCATCAAAGAAGAATCTGTATAGAAATATAAATACAATCTCTACAATGCTGAGGAATCAATCATTAAAGAACTCTATGTCATCAATCAAGAGCTCAGAGATGACATGCACTTTGAAATATATACTGATGGCTCTATGAGCTAGCAGAATAGACAACACTACATGGAAGTAGGATGGATCTTAACAACTAGAGACAATCGATATTTCAATTTCCAAGGCCAAGTTCAAAACTTTCCCTCCTCAACCAGAGTAGAATTAATGGCCATCCTTACAGCCATTAGCACTCTTCCCTACTACAGTAGAGTACAAATATATACAGATAGCATGGCAGCCATCAACTATATCCAGAAAAATAACAAGCTCACTACCATACAACACTACAAAAAACAAAAAAACTCAAACATTCTACAACTAATAAAAGAAATTTTCAAACAAAGAAATATAAAGCTGGAACTACTCAAAGTCTAGGCACATGCAGGAAACATACAAAATGAACTCGCAGATCAATTGGCAGAAATTGGACAATATAAAGGGATGAGACCTAACACAAGAAACATTGCATACAAAACTAAAATTCTAAAAGAAATACATTTCACTATACAATGGAATGAACAAGACTTGGAAACACCAATAAAAGAAACGACCAAGAAAATTACACAAGCAGTTCACTTAGCTAAATAGAGACTCTTGAACAGAACCAGAAACAATTTTGATGACCACTTAATTCAGAAAATTCACTGGTCTACCACCTTTAAATACCTTCAGATCACCAAAATGAGCAATCACATGACAAACTGGAAGGACCAACAACAAAGAAGATTTCTACTAAGCTTATGGAATGAAGAACTGCCCACAAAAACTAAGCTATATCACAGAGCACCTTCAATCTACAAAGACAACCTGTGCATAAAGTGTAAAGAAATAGAGACAAATATACACCCATTCATCTGCACTACACGCAGGAAAAAGACAGAACACTTCATAATCAATAGCATCAGCACAAGTATCACAAAACATTCAAACAAGACCAACACATCAGAATGGATAAACAAACTCAAGGAAAAAACATCACTCTATTATAAGAGATATCTGAAATGTGCAATTAGAGGAGCTTTTCTCAAGGAAACAACTCAAATTATCTGCGAAGCAATTCCAGAAAAACAACACAGACATGACTGCTATATAGAAATCAAACAAAACATCACAAACTATCTTCAAGAGATATGGAAAAAACATTGCGAAGATTTTCAACTCTGGAAAACACAACAAGGTATCACCAGAAAGATGGAGAAAAAAAGCAAATATACCAAACATGAAATTGAGCCATGGCTCAAAGAAAGAGAGGACCATATCAAAGATCAATTCGTATATCTAGTCAACAAGTACATGAACAAAACCATCCAAAATATAACCACACCCTTCACCATTCTGAAATTTTCATACAGCACTAGCCCAGCCTTGGCAAGTTAGCTTTCTCCAAAATAAGGTGGTAACAAGCCATGAGGTAAGTATAGTCGAAAGACTATTTCTTTATTGAACTTCATTTGGTAAGCATAGGTAGATATTACAATACATATACATACCCACCATATTTCAAATAAAGTAAGGCTGAGTCAGCGTTTATAAAAAAAAAAAAAAAAAACTGATTAATTTAGTCAATCAAAAATTTAATTTATAAATTATCATAATTTTGTTAATATAATTTCAATATTATTTCATTTTTAAAGCTATTAAGTAATTTCAAAAGGTGATGAAGAGTAGAATGCAGTCATAATATGACATAACTTCTTGGGATTTGTGTTATATAAGGTCTTTAAAACCTTTTTTTTTTTATTAATGTCAAATAAAAAAAAGAAATGTATAATATGTTTCACCAAATAATTTCAGGTTCAAGCTTTGGAAAATAACAAGAAAATACTTTGAAGTTCTTCAAAAAGCCCAAGAGTATTCCCAGTACCTGGGTCAAGCTAAAGAATAAAGACTAATACCTCAAGTCGAAACAGAAACAGAGCTACACTAAAAGCAATTAAGATCTCTCAGTTATATTTTAGAATCTTCACCTACTAGGAGGTTGCCCAAAGAATCTTTAGGTATATTAAAAAAGATGCAATTATTTAAATAAATACTAATTTATATATTTAGTTTCTAATATAGTAATTGAGAGGCTTTTGAAGTTCTATGAAAGTCTTTATAAAAAATTGATCAATTATTAGAATGTCAAAAAGCTGTTGAGGATAAGGTTACCCATCTAGAAAATGAAATTCAAATGAGTCAACATTTAATCACTGAACAAGATTTTATTAAGGTAAGATTTAATTTTTAATCTTCGAAGAATTT